CCACCAGGTGCAAGGACTTGTTCTTCAGTTTGGTATAAACTTTTGGAGTTACAGTGCACCAAGATAGAAAGTTGCTGACTGTGGCAAAACAAGCAATGGAAGTTTTCCAAATTGGGGGAAAAGAGCTAAAAGGTGAGCCATAATGGCACCATGGTGAAGAGGAAGATGAAATAAAGGGGACGAAGTAGGTGCTGTGAGAAAGAGGACATGCGGTGTCAGGGGCTGTGCTGGGGCACATCTCTGTACCACTGCACGCATGCTGCCCCACACAGTGCCTGCACTGAGCTGCCAGGGGCTGCCTGTGGGGTGGTAGAGCCGGGCTGTCCTGCAGAAGGGAAGGCACACGGAGCCTCGTGCTGCAGGGCTGGGACCCCAGAATCACCTGGAACTCAGCGCCCAGCTGTGCTGTGCTCACCTTGCCTGGCTCCCAGGTGCCCCCTGTGCTGCTCTGTCACTGCCCCTCCTAGCAGGATGGGGGAGAAAACAAAATCCAACAATTCCTGGGTCGTGGCATAAAGGTTCTTTATTCTTTCCTTGCTTAAAACTCAGTGACAACAAGTGGTGTGCGTTAATGGCTACATATCAAATGCAGGGTTTTGTTTGTTTGTTTGTTTGTTTTTCTTTTTTTTCCCACACTTTGTAACAGCTATTGAATTCAGTGTTCCTTTCACATTCATGTATTATTGAAACTACACCTAACCCACCACACATTTGACTCATACTTTAGGTAATTCAAATGATTTGCAACACAGAACTCTGCTCACCGTTCATTAGAATTTCACATCCCTCTCATTCCCTACCTACTTACTCTAATCAAAGTTACATGCCATGTTTGTGTTTCATATTTGTTCTCTCACATCCTGACCTATTTTCCTAATATTTAACAGTAACTTCCTAAATCATCCCTGTGTACAATTTAGATATTTCTGTCCTCACTGTCAGACCCAGTCTGTTGTGTCCCTGCAGTTCAGGTAAAGATTCACTTCTGAATGCTTTGGTCATGTGCTGAACTCCACACCATTCCAATAACAGCTCTCTGGATCCCAAAGTGAAGGTTGCTAAGTTACAGAAGCACACTTATCCACCAGGTGCCAGTTGTAAGCAAAGCAACAATCTAATAAACAATTTCTTTGTGTGTGCTGGAAAAAGATGTTTTACTACAATGCAACCTTTGTCCTCAGATTTACTATGCTTTGTTTAGCTCAATATTTTAAGGATCTAAATGAGAAAGCAGTATTTTCCCAATACTTCATTAAATGTTGTAGTTTTTTATGGTCAGAATGATAATGTGGGTGCTTTTTCAATACATCGGTTACACAGACTGGTACAAAAATCTACCTGGATTTTTGGAAGTCCTTTGTCATGGTCCCACATCACATCCTGATCTCTGTGGAGAGATATGTGAGATGGATTTGAAGGGCAGACTGCTCATTGGAGAAGAAATTGGTTGGAAGGTCGCAGCCAAAGGACTGTGGTAAATGGCTGTCTGGGAAATGAGCTCCACCAGGTGGAGGCCGATCACAAGTTCTGTCCACAGGGGTCAGCCTTGGGACCAGAGCTCTTCAACATCTATCAGTGGCATGGATGACGAGATAGAGCGCTCCCTCAGCAAGTTTGCTGATGACACCAAGCTGCATGGTGCAGTTGGCACGACAGAAAGAAAGGCTGCCATCCAGAGGGACTGGACAGGCTTGAAAAGTGGGCCCAAAGAAACACCATGAGGTTCAACAAGATCAAATGCCAGTTTTTTGCACTTGTGTCAGGACAATCCCAGGTATGAGGGAAGAAGTCCTGGAGAGAACTGGGGAAGGACTTAGAGGTCCTGGTAGACAAAAACTGTAACAGGAGCCAGCAGTGTGTGCTTGCAGCCTGAGAGGTCAACTGTGCCCTGGGCTGCATCAACAGAGAGGAGGTCATCAGAGCAGGGGAGGGCATTGTCCTTTTCTACTCAGCCCTCAGAAAGACCCATCCAGACTATGAGATAAAGCTTTTGGAGAAGGTCATGAGGATGATTAGGCTGGAGGACCTCTCCTATGAAGACAGGCTGAGGGAGCTGAACTTGAATTGCCTGGAAAAGAAAAAGCTCCAAGGAGAACACATTGCAGCTGTGCAATTCTATTAATAATTCTATTAATAATTCTATTCTATGATTCTAATATTTAAAGAGACCTTGGAAGTAAGAGGAAAAATGATGTTTTACATGGGGAGATCATGATAGGAGAAGGGGGAACAGTTCAAAAATAAAAGAGTCGAGATTTAGATTAGAAACTGAGGGGAGGGGAGGTCCTGGCACAGGCTGCCCAGAGAAGTTGCAGATGCTTCATCCCTGGAGGTGTTCAAGACCAGGCTGGATGGGGATCTTGGGCATCCTGATTTAGTGTCTGATTTAGTGGTTGGCTGCCCTGCCTGCAGTGTGGGGGTTAGAACTAAATGATCTTCAAGATCCCTTCCAATACAAGCCATTCTATGCTACTCTGATTCTATGACCTCTGGCACCACAGCACTACTTGAGCAACATTTCACATCATCACAGAATCAAAGGAGTTGGAAGGGACCTCAAGAGATCATTGAGTCCAACCTGCCCTGCTAGAGCAAGTACCCTACAGGATGTCACATAGGCATGCATCCAGATGGGTGTGAATATCTCCATAGGAGGAGACTGCACAACCTCTCTGGGCAGCCTTTTCCTCATGCCTGTCTCCACCATCCAAGCTGCAGTTTTCCCCAGTTTTTCTCTTTCCCGCTGTTTCCCACCACCAGGGAACTGTAGAATCATAGAATCATAGAACAGTTCAGGTTGGAATGGATGAAAAGATTACTCAGTTCCAATCCTTCTGCCATGAGCAGGGGCACCTTTCTCTTGCCCCATCCAAACTGACATTAAACTTCTCCAGGGATAGGACTGCCACAACCTGTCTGGGCAACTTCTCAATTAAATCTCCTCTCCTTTGGTTTAAGCTGCTAGCCCTTGTGCCATCACTTCATTCCTGATAAAGACTCCCTCCCTAACTTCCTTGTAGAGACTTGTGCTGTGAAAAGCAGCCATATGGTCTCCCTAGAGACGTCTCTTCCCCAGGCTCAATGACCCCAGGTCTCTCAGCCTCTCTTTGCACACGAGTCATGTTCCAGCTCTCTGCTCATCCTGGTTACCCTCCTCTGGACTTGCACCAGCAGATACATGTCCTGTTGTTTGTGGCCCTTGATCTGAATGCAGTACTCCATGTGGAGTCTCCCAAGAGTGGAAGAGAGGAGGAGAATTGCCTCCCTTGACCTATTAGCTATACTTCATTGGATGCAACCCAGATTATGGTTGGCTTTCTGGGCTGTAAGTGCACACTGCCTGTTGAGCTTTTCATCAACTAACACCCAAAGTGTTTCTCCTCAGGACTGCTCTAAGTGCATTCTCCACCCTGCATGCATTTGTGCTTGGGACTTCCCTGACCCGTGTGAATAACTTTGCACATGGCCTTGTTGATCTTCATCAGTTTTGCACAGCCCCACCTCTGTAGCTTGTCAAGGTCCCTCTGGATGGCATCCCTTCTCTTTATTGGCCTGACCTCATCACAGAAATTGGTATACCTGCGAACTTGCTGAAAGTGCACTCAACAGCACTGTTCCAGTCAACAACAAAGAGGTTAAATAGCACCAGTACCACCTGCAGACCCCTGAGAAATACCATTGTCTCCACATGGGCATTGAGCTGCTGACCACAACTCTGGCTGTGAGCATCCAGCCAATTCCTTATCCACCGACACTGGATGACATTTAGCTGCATTCCTAAAGATACAGACCTCATCCCTGAATTAAAGGCTATCCTATAGTATACAGAAAGAATGTTTTCAAATGCCCTTTGTCAGCCACGTTCCTGCTGTGAGATTGAGTTCACTCACGTCCAGTTTGCACATGACACCAGTCTGTGTGGTGTTGTGGTGGTTTTATGATTTGTTGTTGGTATTCCACATCATCCATCATGGAGTCTCAGAAGAGAAGAGATGTACTGCAGCTCCTAGAAGAGTTTGCTATTCTGTTTCTATTTTCCAGAAAGATAAAGCTGTCTGGAAGTCATGAGACTTTCTCCGTTTGCTGGTTAAAGTAAGAACCTCAGTTTTCAGAAACTTTCATTTATTTCATTTGTTAGCTTCAATCCCAATTAACCTGTGTTTTGACTATTATAATTGCTAAATCAATTCTCCTCTACAGACTGTTGATGCAGTTTTTTGTTTTTTCTTTTTTCTTTTTCTCTTTTCCCCTTTATTCCCTCTCCTTGTTCCCCTCCCCCTTTTTTTGGGCCAGTGGACCTGTGGGACTTTCGTCCTGCTGTTGTGGATGTGGATAAATCTAGAGATAATCATGACAGAGTCTGAGTGTTATCCCAGCCCCTTCCCCTGTGCTGACCCCCTCCACCACGTGCAGCTGCTGCAGCTGCTTTTGTCGCTTCAGTTCTAGGTGTGGGGGACCTTTATGACAGCACCAGGACTGTCACCTGCCCACTGCTATGCCTGAAGTTTGATGTCTCTCTTAAACTGTGGCACCCAAAGTGCACCCAGTGTTTGAGGTGAGGCTGTACCAGCACAGAGCAGAGCAGGACAATCCCTTCCCTCACCCAGCGGCCAGCAGTGCTGGCCCTGATGCACCCCAGCGGACAGTTGGATCCTTTGGCTGTCAGGGCAAACTGCTGGTTCATGCTCAACTTGACATCAACCAGAATCCCCAGATCCCTTTCCCAGAGGTGCTCCTCTGCCCTCTACTCAGTTCTTCATTCCTCTCTTCAAGGCCTCTCCACAACCTTCAGGAAAACTACAGGCGGAGCAATGTGGATATCCTGTTTTATTAAGCAGACGCTAGGTTAGCACTGATTTACATTTAGACACGTATTTATACAGCTGGAAATATAAACAAATCAGAGTCATTCCTCACTGGAACTCAGATGAACATAACCGTCTATCAGAGAGAACAATAAGAACAAGTGGCTCTAAAGACTGCAAGAACTGAGAGTGAACTTAATTCAGAAAAAATTGTGAAATGACTTTCCTAACTGAACACATGAGCTGCTTGTTTCTAACATTGTAGATGAGGGGGTTCAGTGTTGGAGGCACCACTGAGTAGAGCACTGCCACTATCAGATCCAGGCATGGGGAGGATAGGGAAGGAGGCTTCACATAAGCAAAGGTACCAGTGCTGACAAAGAGGGAGAGCACAGCGAGGTGAGGGAGGCATGTGGAGAAGGCTCTTTGCCGTCCCTGCTCAGAGGGCATCATCAGCACTGCCCTGAAGATCTGCATATAGGTGAAAAAAATGAAAACCAAGCAGCCAGATGCTAAAGAGGCACTGACCACAAGAACCCAAATGTCTTTGAGATAGGGGTGTGAGCAGGAGAGCTTAAGAATCTGGGGGATTTCACAGAAGAACTGATCCACAGCATTGCCTTGGCAGAGGGGCAGTGAAAATGTATTGGCAGTGTGCAGGAGGGAATAGAGAAGCCCAGTGCCCCAGGCAGCTGCTGCCATGGTGGCACGAGCTCTGCTGTCCATCAAGGTCCCGTAGTGCAGGGGCTTGCAGATGGCAACGTAGCGGTCATAGGACATGATGGTGAGAATGGAATACTCTGCTGATATCAGAAAGACAAACAGAAAAGTCTGTGCAACACATCCAGCATAGGAGATGTGCCTGGTGTCCCAGAGGGCATTGGCCATGGCTTTGGGGAGAGTGGTGGAGATGCAGCCCAGGTCGAGGAGGGCGAGGTTGAGCAGGAAGAAGTACATGGGGGTGTGCAGGCGGTGGTGGCAGGCTACGGCTGTGCTGATGAGGCCGTTGCCCAGGAGGGCAGCCAGGTAGATGCCCAGCAAGAGCCAGAAGTGCAGGAGCTGCAGCTGCCGCGTGTCTGCCAACGCCAGGAGGAGGAACTGGCTGATGGAGCTGCTGTTGGGCATCTGCAGTTCCTGGGCATGGAGTCCTGTTCAGAATGCAGAAGATAATGATGAGTCAAGACCATTCTCAGAGTCACTCCTGCTATACTATAAAACTTTTTCCTTCTCTTTGGCAAATGTTCATTTAGCCCCATTACTTGAATTTAATTTCATGAAGTTCAGCATTCCATAAGAAAAAGTAACTTATGGAGAGTTTGACTTTTTCTCATTTTCTAATCTTAGCTCTTTCTGGGTATTTTCAGCTATTTCTATGTCTGATATCTTTACCTCAACTGCTCTTAGAGCACCCAACCCCAACCTCTGTGCAGTTCAATTTCTGTCAGAGAAAGCTGCCTGTTTACAGGGTATGTGCATTATCTGTGTCTGCAGAAAACAATGATAATTTCAACAGGTTCCATCCTTCGAGAATGGAGAGGCTGAAACCATATTCTGTGTGACCGTTCACAGTGCAAGTGATCGAGAGAAGTACAATTCCGGAGTCTCATAGCTGTGCTCAAAGTTGACAGCCCCTTTCAGATTTCTACCTCCAATCCTTTCCCCTCCCTGAGATAAGGAAAAGGAAAATCTCTACCTTGCTTTTCCTACAAACTGCCCTTAAAAACACCCTGAGGAGCAGAGTATCTGTGATCCCCCTGCCCCAGGCAGCAGCAGAAGGCAGGGGCAGCAGAAAGCTGGAGCAGCAGAAGGAGCCTGCACTGCCCTGCCCTGCCCTGCCCTGCCCTGCCCTGCCTTGCCCTGCCCTGCCCTGCCGGGGGGCTCCTTCCCCCCACACGTCTCCCCACAGCACCCTGGGCAGCTCCCCAGGCAGCTGAGTGCTGAGCCTGGCAGGCAGCACAGTCCCTGCCCCGGCACACAGCCCCTGGGGCACAGCAGGACCTGCTCTGCAGGACAGCCCTGGGCACCCGGCTGCAGCCATGGCTGCACAGCCTGCAGCCGTCCTGGGACACGCAGCACCCAGGGCTGTGCTCTGATGCTGCAGCAGGAAAGCCCTCAGCTGGAGCAGGTTTTTATCCAAAATAAAGAAATATGGAATGCCTTCAGCCTGTTTTCAAATTTCTCAGCAATTTGAGAAGGGAGGAGGAGTGGAAACGGGTACCTGCTCGGCGGAGGGGGCATCCCCCATCCCGACCATCCCCGGCTCCCCAGGTGCCTCTGCGAACAGGTTTGAGGCCCTGGAAGTCGAAGGGGGGACGAGTGAGAGTGCGGTGACAGGTTCACCTGTGAGGTTGCCTCAGGCGAAGCGGTCGCCCCCAACCCTCAAGACTGCTTCTACCCGCAAGGACAGGGGGGTGATTGTCATAGGCGACTCCCTTCTGCAAGGAACAGAAGGTCCTATATGCCGGCCCGACCCTACCCGCAGAGAGGTGTGCTGCCTTCCTGGGGCACGGGTCAGGGACATTTCAAAGAAAATTCCTGGGTTGATTCGGTCTTCGGATTATTACCCACTTTTAGTAATTCAGGCTGGCGGCGAGGAAGTTGATAAGGAAAGCCTGAGGTCTATCAAGAAAGACTTCAGGGGAATGGGGCGAATACTTGAAGGATCTGGGGTGCAAGTGGTCTTTTCTTCTATCCCCGTGGTGTCAGGGAAAGGTACAGGGAGGATCCAAAATACCCAACTCTTCAATAGATGGCTTAAGAGCTGGTGCAGGCGCAAGAATTTCGGCTTTTTTGACCATGGGGCAATTTACACTGCACCTGGCATGATGGCTGCTGACGCATGCAGCCTGTCCCTGAGGGGTAAGAGGATCTTAGCTGAAGAATTAGCTGGACTCATTGACAGGTCTTTAAACTAGGAATGAAGGGGGAAGGGGACAAAATAAGCGCCACTGGGGTTGAATGGGTCATTCGAGGGCTTGTACCAAACTCCATGGGCAATGACGGCAGAGTGCATAGGGAAGGAGTAGGGCAGGGGGATGCTGGGGATGCTGCTGTTCTAGGGGATCCTAGATCCCTTATAAAGGTGGCGAGACGGATAGCCCGGCTGAAGTGCCTTTATACCAATGCACGCAGCCTGAGTAACAAGCAGGAGGAACTCGAAACTGTGATGCACTCGGAAAGTTATGACCTTGTTGCTATCACAGAAACATGGTGGGATGACTCCCACAATTGGGATACTGCCATCGACGGCTATAGACTCTTTAGGAAAGATAGGCGAGGTAGGAGGGGTGGGGGAGTTGCTCTCTATGTCAGAGATTGGATAAACTGTGAGGAGCTCCCTACGAGAAACAGTCAGGAACAGGTTGAGAGCCTGTGGGTTAGGATTAGAGATGGGACTAATATAGGTCAGCTGGTGTTAGGGGTATACTACAGACCACCTGATCAAGGGGAGGCTGTTGATGAGGCTTTCTTGCTCCAGATGCGTGAGATGTCTGGCTCACGGGCTCTTGTCCTGGTGGGGGACTTCAACCATCCGGACATCTGTTGGAAAAACCACACGGCGAGCTGCAAGAGCTCCAGAAGGCTCTTGGAATCCATTGACGATAGCTTTCTGGTTCAGGTATTGGACAGACCGACCAGAGATGAAGCGCTGCTAGACCTGCTGCTTACCAACGCCGAGGAGATCATCAAAGGCGTCAAGGTTGGAGGCTGCCTGGGCTCCAGCGACCACGCCCTGGTTGAGTTTGTGATCTCAAGCGATGTGGGCCTGGCAAAGAGCAGGATCAGGACACTGAACTTTAGAAAAGCAGACTTCAAGCTACTCAATGGATTGCTGGCCAAGATCCCCTGCCGCGCTGCCCTCAAAGACAGGGATGTTGAGGAGAGCTGGCGGCTCTTCAAAGATGCCCTCCTGGAAGCACAAGAGGTCTCCATTCCTCTGAATAAGAAAGTGGGCAGGCGACGTAGGAAACCAGCATGGCTCAGCAAGGACCTGCTGAGAGAACTGAGGGCGAAGAAAGGGGTGTACAAGCTCTGGAAACAAGGCTGTGTCACCTGGGAAGAGTACAGGGATGCCGTCCGGACTTGCAGACGTGGGATCAGGGAAGCCAAGGCGCAGGCAGAACTGAACTTGGCAAGGGATGTGAAAAACAATAAGAAAACCTTCTACAGGTACATTGGCCAGAAGAGACAGGCCAAAACGGGCGTACCTACTTTGGTAAATTTAAAAGGAGAACTGGCTTCAACAGATGAAGAGAAAGCTGAGGTGCTGAATGAGTTCTTCACCTCGGTCTTCACTGGTGGCCAGGATTCTAGTCTTCTTCACGTCCATGAACCCTGCATCCCCAAACCTCTATGTGGGGACCAAGGAGGTAAATCCCTCCCCACTGTAAGGGCAGAGCAAGTCCGAGAGTACCTCCTTAGACTGAATGAATACAAGTCTATGGGGCCAGATGGCGTGCATCCCAGGGTCCTGAAGGAGCTGGCTGAGGTGGTTGCCGAGCCGCTCTCCATCATATTTGAGAAGTCGTGGCTGTCAGGTGAGGTCCCGGATGACTGGAGGAAGGGTCACGTCACTCCCATATACAAGAAGGGGAGCAGGGAGGACCCGGGGAACTACAGGCCGGTGAGTCTCACCTCCGTGCCTGGGAAGATCATGGAACAGATCCTCCTGGACAACATGCTGGATCACATAAAGAATGAGCATGTGATCTGAGACAGCCAGCACGGCTTCACCAAGGGAAGGTCATGCCTGACTAATCTTGTGGCCTTCTATGATGGAGTGACGGCATTGGTGGACGAAGGGAAGGCGACCGATGTCATTTACCTGGACCTGAGCAAGGCCTTTGACATGGTCCCCCACCACATCCTCATCTCCAAATTGGAGGGAAGTGGATTTGATGGGTGGACGACCCGATGGATGAGCAATTGGTTGAAAGGCCGCAGACAGAGGGTGGTGGTCAATGGCTCTGTGTCCAGGTGGAGGCCGGTAACAAGTGGTGTCCCCCAAGGGTCTGTCTTGGGACCGGTGCTCTTTAACATCTTTATTAATGACATCGATGAAGGAATTGAGTGCACCCTCAGCAATTTGCTGACGACACCAAGCTGAGTGGTGCGGTTGATACGGCGGAAGGAAGGGATGCCATTCAGAGGGACCTCGACAGGCTGGAGGGCTGGGCTCGGGTGAACCTAATGAGGTTCAACACGGCAAAGTGCAAGGTTTTGCATTTGGGCCGGAAGAACCCCAGGCACCCGTACAGGCTGGGAGGAGTGGGCCTTGAGAGCAGCTCGGCAGAGAAGGACCTGGGGGTCCTGATGGACGAGAGACTGAACATGAGCCAGCAGTGCGCTCTGGCAGCTCGAAAGGCAAATGGGATCCTGGGCTCCATCAGGAGAGGGGTGGTCAGCAGGGACAGGGAGGTGATTGTCCCTCTCTACTCGGCTCTTGTGAGGCCCCACCTGGAGTACTGTGTCCAGGTGTGGAGCCCTCAGTACAAGAAAGACATAGAGATCTTGGAGAGGGTCCAGAGGAGGGCGACTGAGATGATCAGGGGGCTGGAGCACCTCCCCTATGAGGACAGGCTGAGGGAGTTGGGCTTGTTCAGCCTGGAGAAGAGAAGGCTGCGGGGTGACCTCATTGCAGCCTATCAATACCTGAAGGGAACCTACACCCAGGAGGGGAGTAAACTCTTCAGAAGGGCTGATAACAGCAGGACTAGGGGAAATGGATCCAAGTTGAAGGAGGGAAGATTGAGGTTGGATGTTAGGGGGAAGTTCTTCACAAGGAGAGTAGTTAGGCCCTGGAACGGGCTGCCCAGGGAGGTTGTGGATGCCCCGTCCTTGGACGTGTTCAAGGCCAGGTTGGACGGGGTCCTGGGCAACCTGATCTGAATGTGTATGTTTGGTGGCCCTGCTAGGCAGGGGGGTTGGAACTACATGATCCTTGAGGTCCCTTCCAACCCAGGTGATTCTGTGATTCTGTGATTCTGTGTGTTTTGCAATGGATGTCCCAAATTCATTTATCCCTGCAGTAAAAGTCGCAACGCTGCCTGCAATGAGAGACTTTCCTTGTCAAGGGCTGTGGGCAATGCTCCTCCAGTGAGCTCACAGCCTAACGTGCCACACAGCGTGTAAGATCTCTTTCTTCTGTCCTGTCACCTGC